AAAGCTAATTTCTCAAAATAAAGTAATGTTAATCAACAAATATTCAATAATCGCATTAATGCTATAAAAATGATTTCAAAAAAATTTAATATTTTAGTAAATAAAATTTTGAATCCCCAAATCAAATTTTTAAACATTATTATTTATAATATCATCCATACAATTTCATAGAATGCAACTTGTCTTAGCACAGTTTCATACTCAAAACTCTTCATACCATTCAAGTTAAATTCATGAACAATTAATACCCAAACTAAGTATGTACCCGTAAGAGTTAATGAAATTTCAAAAAAAAAAAAATCATATCCGATCACAACTTAACATTCCACTAAAATACAATCTCCTAATAAACTTTTTGTCAGAATTTCAAAACTACACTCATTTGCTACTAAAAACTAACATCCCCCTATCAAACAATTCATCAAATGTTACGTGCATTCAAACTTAAACCACACAGTCATCCTTTAAATATCTTCCCTAAAATTTCATGAACACATATATATATATATATATATATATATTTACCAAACTTTTCAAATTTCATTCCCTTAACTAAAATCAATTTAAACTCAGAAATGCCAAATCTAAACATATATTGATCATGCAGCCAGCAAAAATATGATATAGCTACTTGGCAAAAGTGAAATCCTTAATCTTCAACTTAAGCTTGTTAGAACATTCAATAGTAAAGCAAAATTTCAGTGATCAATTCCTAATCCAAAATCTTAGCAATTCTCAATCACAATACATACTCAAATTTGACAAGGGAGAGAGTGAAACATGGCTCACCAATAAAGCAAAGAGTACCGAAGGAAGGGGAACCAGAATTGCAATGACAGAACATGAAGATCAAGAAGAGCAGCTGTGAACCGAAACAGAGGAAGGAAAATTCATGCACCAACAACTGCACCCACAATGACGCACGAGTGAAGGAGAAGCAAGACTGAAGCTTCCAATCGCCCACACCTCCAGTGACCGCAATAGAAGAATGTGATTTGAGAGAGAAAGACGTTGTTATTCTGACACCTAGAAGATCGCCAGCGATATTGAAAACGAACACACGCATGGCTGTCAACTTAGAACAGAGACAGTATTAGGGAACGACAAACTAAGAAATTTAGCAACTCTATGCTCTCCCTCTCAATGACAAGAACACAAAATAATAGCTAGCACACACCTCACGGGCTCATGTTGACACAGATCATCACGAGGACAGGGAAAGGAAGTCAGCAACCGAACTTCAACGTGGCTGGAAATGTGAATGAAAAGGATGAAGTAACAGCAGCAAAAGGATCTCTTACCACAGCGAACTAAGAAGGTTCATAAGAGTGAAGGAAATGAACCAACTAGAAGCGTCTAGAGGAGTGTATAATAGTGGTGGAGAACTGAAAATAAGATGCTCTGTTTTTGAGTTTTTTTTTCGCTTGAGAAAAGAAAACTGACCAAAAGGAGTTTTTGGAAAAATTATAAGAATGAGCATGAAAAATTTACAAGAAAAGGCACAATAATATTACAAGGAAGGACATGAGATTTTCCTACAATTTTAAAACTAACCTTTTGCTCAAAAAAATTTAAACTTTGGATCCTCAAAAAAATTTCTAGCATGAGTTCCTCTAAACTATCAATTTCTACTTACTAGAAATTTATTTAAATAAATTATCCATTAAGAGAATTTTTTTTATTTTTTATTTTTATTTTTATTTTTTTAAAATGTAGGGTCATTACAGATAGTGAGTTTAAACTTATTTGTTACGGTTGGGATTTAAAAAGGGGCTACTGGTAGCTCGAACCCAATCCATTATTTTTTTACCATGCTTTTAAATTTAAGTCCAAAAGTCTTTTGGCTCACTAGCAGAAGTTAGATTTAGTAAAAGAGACTTATGTCTCATAATGTAATGAACTAAGGTTTGAATTTATATTAAGAGAGATGTTCATATTTAATATCTGACAATGTTTTGAGTAGAATTACTTCTAATAAGAGATATCAATGAGTAAGCCAAAAACAAAGTATTTTAGCTCATTTTTTTCCAATTTACCTTATGCAAAAATGTGAGGAAAATAGGCAAAAATTAAACAATAATTAGAAAGAGTGAGTGTAGGTGATTGTGCAGAAATCAAAGTTTGAAATTTCCTGTTGCAAAATAATTAAATTTTAAAAAAGAGTGAAGTGATAATTTTGCCTTTAAAATATAGGTTTAGTAGTGTCTAGGATCCCATATTTCTTTTTAGTGCAATGTTTTCCTCTTCAATATTTCAAAACATTGCAATATTATTCCTATTATTAATAAATATTAATTTTAAATGTTAGTTGACAAAAAAATTATAAAAAATACATTAAAAATTATAGAAAATGATCCAAAAAATTACAAATAAGTATTCTATAAAAAATTTAATACCACTTAAGTTCTCTAAATTATAATAAATATCAAAAGACAAATGTTATTTGTTCTATGTAAAGATCAAAATACCATTTTAACTAAAAATAATGTATTCATTTTAATAATATTTTTTATAAAATATAATAATTTAAATAATAATAATAATAATAATAATAATATTATATTATTATTATTATTACTATTATTATTATTTACAAATCTTCATCAACAATGTACAAGTTGACTTTCGCTATGAACAATTTTTTCAAAAATTGCAACTTAGCTAATATATTTGTGTTTTAAAGTAAATGTGATTTTTTGCAAATATAATAGTTAAGTTATTAAAAAGCATTCATCTATAAATCTTATATACACTAGTTGAGTTGTTAATTTAAAAAATTATAAATTTTGGAGAAATATTTATTAATAAAAATAATAATATTTACAATACTAAATATTAAATTATTAATATTTTTCATAAGATATTATTAGTTAAAATAAATATATTATATTTTTAATTACTTACCATTGTTGGTGCCATTAGATGGTGATTCAATAATTAGATAGTAGCCAATCGAAATTAAATTTTAGTCTTTTACATGTAAAACAAATAATATTTTTCTCTTGACATTTATTTGTAATTTAGAGAACTTAATTGGTACATTTTCTATATTTTTTGTCATCTTTTATAATTTTTGAGGTATTTTTTTGTAATTTTCTAGCAAATTAATAATTAAGTTAATTTTTTATTAATAATAAGAGCAATATTACATCATTTTCAAGACATTGCACAAAAAATAAGTTTAGATTTTAAGATACTCATAAAACTTTAATTTAAAAGAAAATTTGTTCTTTAACCCTTTGAAAAATAAAGGATGAAATCTTAATTCAAAACACATAATACTACAAAAAACAGTAGATTAGTTACAGAAAATTTTGTTCCAAATTCGTCGCTAATATTAGCCATGGCCACAGAATTATGGAATATTTGTGATGGAAATTCCGTCCTGATTGTCCAATATTTGTGACAGTATTTTTGTCACTACTTAAGCCATTGAAATTTACCATTGCAAATTCATTTCCATTTTGTGACAGATTATAGTAACGAGATTAGATTGTCGTTGCTAAATTAGAGTAAGTTATCCCTAAAATTAGCTATAGAATTTTGAGTTAGCAATGAAATCTATCTGTCAAAAATTAGCAATGAAATTTGCAATTCCATGGCTATAAATTAGTGATAGTAATTTTAGCGATAGAATTATGATCCATTGTTAATCTACTTAGCGATGAAATTTTTACTAATTTTTTTTTTTACCAAAACAGGGGAGAATAACATTAATCAAATGCAGAGTAACATAATTCAGAGCCATAAGCTAGTGGCAAAGGCAAAAACATTATAGAAGAAATAAAAGTTCCTTAACCAATCCCCTCACGATCATGTTCTAGAGCATGCTGCTGCAAGTAGTTCTAACAAGAGCTTGAGTTTTGGAAGAGCAAAGCAGAAAGAGGGAGTGAAGGTTCAAGAACCTAGCCTAAAGGTTTCACTCCCTTTGAAACAGAGGCAGTGAGATAATCTATAGTAGAATTCCCTGATCGTCAAACTAGAGAAAAATGAAGTGATGTGAAGGACTCAAAACTCTTGATTAGATCTGCTAATAAACTATGGAAAGACCAATTACACCGATCCCATCTTTTAGTTGATAAAGCTCTATAAAGGTTCTGACAGTCTACCTTTACAACAAATTTCTGAGTGCTTTCAAAAGGTAACAAAGAGATAGCTTTTTGACAAGCAAGTAGTTTTGCCATAAAATTGGAAGACGCATTGATTGTTTGACACCAACCCTTAATGAAACCACATGAGTGATCATGCCAAACGATACTAATGCCAGCATTTCCAAAGGATGTTAAAAAAGAACCATCACAATTAACTTTAATTTCATCTAAAGAGGGAGGAAGCCAAATATGAGATGCAAGATCAACATTAGCAACATTAGCGATGAAATTTTATGTCGCTATACTAATGCCTGTTTATAGTGATAATGTTCCCAAAATTAATGAGTACCCCAATGCTTTTGAGAATTTCTTTACAGCAATAGCGCTAAGTTGCTCTTAACAGCAATAATAATAATTTATTATTAGTCTTATTTTACTAAGTGGAATCAGGATTACACAACATAATGTATGTTTAATATGGTTTCTTCTCCCTACATTCCCCCCTGTCTTCCCACATTCATCAATGATAATTTTGTGCTTTTTTTTAAAATTTTTTTCCCTAAATAATTGAGGAAACTAGGGGGAACAAAAGAATTGAGTAAAAAGAAGGTTTTAGATTATAGATTAGTTTTAAGGGATGAGAGACAGGAGGATTGAGCGGCTTTATTCACAATCATTTGTTAGAGTTTGTGGAATCGAAGGAACATTCGCATTTTTTAGGACAAAGTTATTGTTAATGAAGGAGTGAAAGCCCAAGCTTGGGTGATCCTTTAGAGCTTGAGAGAAATCCCAAAGCGGAGTCATAAATTCAACTGGCACAGGCACCATTCCAGAAATGGGGTTACCAAATGGACTTCTCCTCCTCGAAATTGAGTTTTGGTCAATGTTGATGGCTCCTTTTCACCTTTAATGTCACTAGGAGGATGTGGAGGGGTAATTTGTGACGATAAGGGAAGGTTCATTATAGGTTTTACTCTCGACCATACTGATTCTGATAGTTTGAATGTAGAAATTTGGGCTATTCTTATGGGTTCTAAACTAGCATGGGATATCGGAATGTGCCAAGTTGTCATTGCCTCTGATTCTCTTGAGGCAGCGGAATTGGTTAAGGGAGGGGACATTAGTTCACATCAAGATAGGTTGTTGATTAAGGAAGCTCATACATGTCTTCAAAGAGAGTGGAAGGTTGAGATTTTGCATGCTTATCACTCAACCAATAAAGTTGTAGACTTCTTAGCTAAGTGAGCACTTCAACATGGATCAGATTTTCAACAATTTAGTCATACTCATGAGTTAGAAGATTGTTAGATTATGATTGTTTAAACTTTGGCAGTTTGTAGGCTGCTCTTTTATTTATATAAAAAAAAGAATTAAAAAGGATTATGCAAAAAAATAATAATCAATAACCGTGATCTTTTTGCCTATAATAATTGCAATTATAACAATAATAAAAATAATATATAGTGTCCCAATTAAATAATAAAATATTTGAAAATTAATTCAAATACAATCCTTACCCTAATTTTTAAAAATAATTGAGATAAAACTAGATATTTTTATTTTAAAAATAAAATAAAAATTCAAAAAATATGTAATGAATACAAAATGCACCATCAAACTAAAAAAAAAAAAAAAAAAAGATAAGTCTAGATCGGTGCTCTTTTCTTTGGTGGAGGCTACTCCACGTTTATCCGTATAATTCTTTCTGAAAAAAATGACAATTAATGACCCCTAAGGTCATTATTTTCAATTAAGGACTATAAAATATTGAAATTCTAATTAAGGACTATAGTCTTTATTTGGAATAAAAATTATGTATAACTTTACAAAGTTACCCTCCACTAAACACTAAAATATAGATAACAACTTATGGCTTTGCTTGCAAAAAACCTTCCCTCATATTCTGCTCACTACTTTTGTCGCCTTCAATCCTAATCTTTAGTGGAGTAGAACATTATATAAGCCATTGTCTTCTCCTCTCTTGGTAATCTTCAATTATTTTGTTATTTTCAGCAAAAAAATATTTTGTTATTTTCACGTTGAAGGATATTTCGTAAAAGATTCACAAGGAAAGATGACCTATAAAATTGGGAGATCAATTTTTAAATTGACTAGAGAAGGCATAAATCATTAAAAGTTGTTGGGATGACTTTTTATAGAAACACCCTATATGTTTTTTTATACTTGTGATAGTAACAAGTTATATAAATAGGTTGGCAGTCTAAGTAGTTTTTTTGGGAAGAAGATTGCACAACTACCATTTAGGTAGATGGTAAGAGGCGATATTTTTTGTGTGTAAAAGGAGATGCAAATATGATGTAGATATACTAAAATTAGTGTAATGTAATGCTAATATTTATTTTAGGTTTAAATATGTGCAACTATAAATGCTTTAATAACATAACATTGCTAAAATTGCTATCATGGCATGGAAATATTGTTAATGTCAGTTGAGAAAAATAAAAAATAAATAATCATACTTGATAATAGATTGTTTTCCATTATGAAAGAAACTATTAAAATGTTTTAATGTCACTTATATATGAATATACAAAAGTGATTTGAAAATTTATTAACTTCACTCAAGAATATAAATCCAATGACTTGTTAAATTTCAAGTTTGTTTATATAAAGTAGATCACTTGAAAAATAAAAACACAACATTACTGAAATCATTACTATGGCATGGGAATATTGTTCACATCAGTTGAGAAAATAAGAAACCATATTTGAGAATAGATTATTTTCCAGCATGAAAGAAATTGACTTTTGAATCATTCCAAAGTTACTTATAAATATATAAAAGTGACTTGAAAATTTATTAATTTCAGTTAAAAATATGAAACCAATGACTTATCAAATTTCATATTGCTAATATTTAGTTAGATTACTTGAAAAGTAAAAACATAATACTACTGAAATCATTATCGTGTCATAGAAATATTGTTAATGTCAATTTGAAAAATAAGAAACCACACTTGGGATTAAATTGTTTCTCTAAATAAAAGAAGCTCATTTTTTAAATGTTTCAATATCACTTATAAATATAGAAAAGTAACTTGAGAATTTACTAACTTCACTCAAAAATATAAACCCCATAACTTGTCAAATTTCATGCTTATTTATATAAAGTAGACCACTTGAAAAATAAAAATATAACACTGTTGAAATCACTATTATAATATGAGAATATTATTAATGTCAGTTGGAAAAATAGGAAAACAAACTTGAGAATAGATTGTTTCCCAATATAGAACCAAAGGTACCACACTTAGGAATTTACCCAAGCGATGTGGGAAAAATCAAGATAAACCACTGCTAATTAAACGAGAGTCACTTAGACATTTAACAAAAAATACTTAGGATTAACAGCTGTATCATGTACATTGAGCAACAAAAAACACTTAATTTCACAAAGTTTTAATTTGCATAATATGTATAACCAAAATATCACTTGTGAAAGTACATATCACATTTGTCCAACCTATGCTTTCAATCTTTTTGCTCCTCCATACTCGACATTTGCAATAAATTTCATCACTTATAAGGCTATTTTATTGTCCAGATGACCAATATACTAGCTTAGATCTCATTTTATTCAATTATTCCTATACAATTAAAGCAAGTCAATGACCAACAGAAAATAATAATAAAAACTGTGTGACACCGGCCAAAAAATAAATAAATAAAACCGTGTGACCTAGAAATTTTATCTGTTATTCTTTCAATTGATCTTTGTTAATGCAGGAATGGTATGACTACCTCATTCATCTTTGCAATATCGTTCCATTGTCTAAGGCAAATGATGACATGCGTGCTACAGTAACCTCTACATAAAAACTTTTCAAGATAAAATTTGTGAACATGGGTAAAAAAACAAACAAATGACTACTAAATATATCTAACATCACTAATGAAAAATCATGATGAAACTATTAAATTCACCTTACATCAAATCTAAAATTTCCTTAATTCACCACTCAAACAGTATATAAATACGACAAAATTAAATTATAAAATAGCAATTGTCTAAAAGTGCTCGTCAAGTTGAATGTAGAAGTGGAATAAGCCAGGAAAAGAAGAAAGGCATGTGAAAATGGTCTGATAACAAAGATAGAGAAGGGGGAAAATGTAAAAATTTAAATAAAAAAAAACCAATACACATACTTATAGTTTATCAAGAGAGGAGAAGATGATGACTCAGACGACGATCCATTCCATTAAAGACTAATATTGAAGGCGATGAGAGCAATAAAGAAAGTACAAGAGAAGATTTTTTGCCAAAAGGCTGTAAGCTCTTATCTAATTATCTATATTTTAGTGGAGAATAATTTTGCATAGTTATATATGTTTTTTATTTTAAATAAGGATCTTAATTAAAATTGATTTTTAATTGAAATTAATGATTGGGAGTCCTTCATTGTCATTTTCAAATTAATGTGTGTGTATGTGTGTGTGGGGGGGTGGGGAGGAAGTTACTGACTTTTTATTATATTTTTTTCATTGTTATCATTGCAAGTTGCCGGTATTGCGCATCGAGCTCGAAACAGGTCGGCCCATCAGTCTTTTGATTAATCATTAATGTAATGTTTTTCTTTATCGTTTTAAAAAATATATATAATGGAAACGTGAGACACGTTTTTTTACCCACAGTTATTAAAGCGACATGAGGTAAATTCGATGTAGAGGTTTGAGCTGCCAAAACAGTGCTGCATGTAAAGGACTCCCTAAATGATCCACGGTTCTTGATTTTTTTCCACCAATAATCCACAATTCTAGATTGATTTTGAAATTAAAATAGTTTATAATTAATTAAATTTTATTTTTAGATTGCAAATATTTTTATTTTAATAAATATAGAATCAAAAATAAAAAATTATAATTATAACTTTCAAAATTATAATTTTATGATTAACATATAAATTAGAAAATTTAAACCAGAACCACTTAAACAGAATTTAAAACTATCCTTTTTTTTCAGGAAAAAGAAAATTACAATAGAATTTAAAACTGTCTTGATGTCATCATTCATTGTTGCATCGTACTCGTGACCAAATGAGGACCAGTGAAACGTAGGGATACGAATTGAGAATATGATTATTTAACAACCTTCTAAAAATATTAATTATAATTAAGAATCCTAAAACTATGAGATTAAAAAAAAGACTATGATTTGTAGGTGAAACTAAAATTATTCTTGTTAAAGTACTCATTTTCTATTTTTAGTATTCATTTTCAATTTTTCTTTAGTTATCTTATATGTTTTCAATGCTCACCTTTTTATGTTTTCAATACCAAAAAAACATTGCGGAAATGAGTGCTAACAATATATACACGCCACTCTCTCTAATTCCTATTATAAAATACATTTGACCACTTTAATGGAAATAAAAAGATGGGGTTAAATTATTAAATTTATTTAAAAAATAAACTTTCAATTTTACTTATATTTAAATAAAAAAATTTAAAATTTTCATTATTATTTTTCTATCTCATAATTAATGAATTTAAATATAGGTAATATTAAAAAATGTAATTAATATGCCACCAAGAACCTTATATCATGGACCATTAATCTTTTTTAGAAGGTACTTGTTTGGGCTAAAATATAATTTTTGCTTCAAACCTAACGATTAAGGCTAAACATTATTACTGTGGTCTAAGCCTATATGTGCCGTCTTTTAAATAAAAAAAAAAAAGTAATTGCTTGTTATGAAAATGAATTGAGGCATCACTTCAGAGATGACTTGTAATGGAAAACACAATATTTACTTTAATAATTTACGTCGGTTGTGTATATATATATTCATTTCTTCTGGCTTTGCCAAATCGAACCAGACATGGCGACTGCATTATTACGTGATGATCGGAAACACGTCGTAGTGATTGCCTTCCCCTTTGGGAGCCACCTTTTCTCTCTTCTAAACCAGGCCGTCAGACTTGCTCATGCTGCTCCACATGTCACCTTCTCTTTCATCAGCACTGCAAAATCGAATCACTCCCTCTTCTCCAAGCAACCAGACATACCCCACAACATCAAACCCTTCACAGTCTCTGATGGAGTACCAGATCAGGATCACGTGCCAGGCACGCTCCCCTGCCCGGTTCCAGTACCAGTAGACTTGTTTCTTCAAGCTAGTCTTGAGAACCTTGAACATGCCATAGATTTGGCAGTGAAAAGCACAAACCAGAAAGTTACCTGCATTTTTTCTGACACTTTCGTGAGTCCTCCTTCCCTTTCTCTGTCTCGCAAACTCAATATCCCTTGGTTTGCATCTTGGCCTGCCCTTTCAATCTCAGTCTCTCCTCATTTCTACACTCACTTAATACGCCAAAAGATCACTAATTCTCATGAACCAAACACAAACACATCCCTTGATTTCCTTCCTGGCTTGTCCCGCTTGCTTGTTGAGGACTGGCCACCTGATGTCTTGCCCAAAACTGGCGAAGAAAATAAGGAGACAGTGTTCAGAAAAATACTAGCTTCTACGGGACAAGTTCTTCCTCAAGCAAGAGCACTAGTTCTGTGTTCCTACGAGGAATTAGACCCACCTCTCTTTGTTCAGGACTTGAAGTCCAAGTTAAAGTCACTGCTATACATTGGTCCTCCATTTTCACATTCTCACATCGATACCAATGGTAGCTTGCCATGGTTGGACCAGCACAGACCTAGATCAGTGGCTTATCTCAGCTTCGGATCTGTGGCAACCCTACCTCATCATGAGCTTCTAGAAGTTTCAAAGGCAATAGAAGCCAGGCTGTGGTCTCCAAAGGATGATCAAAAGAGTCTTTTGCCAAATGGGTTTGTTGAGAGGACAAGCACGAGAGTGAAAATAGTGCCTTGTGCTCATCAAACACAGGTTTTAGACCATGGATCTGTAGGAGTGTTTGTGACTCACTGTGGGAGTATCTCAGTGTTGGAGGGTTTAGCCATTGGAGTGCCTATGATTTGTAGGCCTTTCTTTGGAGATCATGGGATGTGCGCTAGAACGGTGGTGGATCTATGGAAGATTGGGGTCAAAATACAAGGTGGGTTTTTCACCAAAAATGGATTGCTTCAAAGCTTGAATCTGCTTTTCATGGAGGAACAAGGTAAGAATATCAGAGAAAATGCCTTGAAGATGAAAAAGATTCTGCAAAATGCTGCCGGTGGGGCGGACGGGAAATCTGCTCAAGATTTTAAGACTTTGGTAGACATGATTACTACTAGTTCTTGAAATCATCGAGTCTCTTTCGATCAGAGAGAAATATTGGAGGAGCCATATTGCTAGTTAACGTTGTGTAATATATAATTACTTCCTCTATCTTTTATGTTTTAAGTTTTTTCTGTTGTGATTTTCTGTTGGATTGAGTGTACGGGGTCATGAGTTATTGTTTATCTCTCCAAGTTTTAAGTGGAAAATTAATATCACAGGTGATCATATGCACGATCATTCCTCAAGAGTTCTCGTTCTGTTCTTTTTATATTGGAAATTGTATTACTTGGAAAATTATTGAGATGAGCGCGCGCGCGCACTGATAATACTTTAGAGTGGATTTTTTCTTTGGAAAATATATGCATCAGTAAAAACTAGAAAAAAAAGTACAACAAATTACAGTAGTATCTCCTTAAGAATGTTTGGTATACTTTAAGATTTGAGATTGGAAGATTGCATTCACAAATATTATATATATATATATATATATTGTAAGCTATCAACATGGCCATGTATAGATGCTTTAATTTAGGGGGGAAATTAAAAAGGGTAATAAGGCTGAACTATGCACAATAAAATCAATTATCTCATCATCTCAACCCCTTATTTTCATTACCCAAACAGTTCTTTTGCTTTCTGATCGAGTGCAAAAGCACTTTCTGAGAGTGGGAAATAGAAAAACCAAATACCCCTAAATTTTGAAAAATGAAAACGAAAATTTTAATTCAATATACATAATGTTCACAAAAAATAAATTGGCAGTCACCGTACCCCAATATTTCCGAGGATTTCTTTACGGCAATTAATATCATTGAGTTCTCCTTAACAATGAAAGCAATAAATCTGTAATAAGAGGACAATAAATTTGTAATAAAAACATGATATTTAAATAAAAATAAATATAAATTAATTATAATGTTAATGATAGTAGAAAGAAAAAAGACAAAAAATTAAATAAATATTTTATTATAAAAATAAATTTATTAAAAATAATAACACGTGAGATTTTATTTGTTTGAATTGGTGTAATTTTATTGAATAAATCATAAATGACGTGATGCATTAAGTTTATATAAGAATTTTTCTTGTTTTTATGCAATTCTAGGTTGAAAAAAAGGAGAAATTAAACGATGGCATTCATAGTTAAAAACGATAGAACTTGTTTGTGCTGAGTAATTCTGATATGTGTTCGCCATTTTGAGCGTACCCTTCTCAAGTAATATCCAATGAGGTGGTTTAAGATGAATTGGAAAGCTAGCTAAGACACAAAACCTTTATATTTTGAGATTTTCCAAATTAAATTCTAATACTATCGTGGTAAAATTGAGTTGAAGTTGTTGCACATGCTCTGTTATAATGACATGTCAAACATGTCTAACGCCAGTCACTGGCTCATCGATCCGAAGTCGTTTCTAAAGCCAAAATGCTGAAATTATAGGAGTTTTTGAGTCCAAAGTTACATGAAACCTAAAGTCATGGCATAAAATTGTGACCAGAGGCAAGGAGTTGTGGCAAGAGGTGTCCAATTATCTTCATTTATTAGGAGCCAAGACTAAAAATTTTTAGCCTTTGAATGTTCTGAGAGCAATTGAAAGTAGAGAGACAAGGGTTTGAACGACAAGCAACAAAGCAAGATTCAATCTTTTTCACCAAGAAATAGAGTTGAAAATTCGAGTTGGGCTTAATTTGGATCGAATTTAAAGTATCTGACCCTTCTAAAAAAGTTCATATAGTTAAGTCTAGTTGTAACTTTTTTAGTTGAGTTCGGACTGACTCGTTAAATTTATTTGGATCGAGATCAATTGGGGCCAAACTTATACATTTTGGCCTTAAAGTCTACTACTCTTTTAAAAAATCTCATATAATCAAGCTTAATCCTAACTTTTTTTGAAATTATCGGCTCTACCAAGAAATTTATTTGATTCTCTTCTTTCATTTGTCTTTACTTTGTATGATTTGGGATCTTAGCTGTGTTTTTTTAAAATATATATTGTCTTATATTCCTTTTTGTTGCTAAAATTCCTAGCTAAGGTAGGATATAGTTTAACTAGAATAGGCTTTGTTTTAGAAATGAATGTCATGATTATTTGTTTAATATAATATATGTATATATACTCGTGAAGTCATAAGATTGAAAAAAAAAACAAAAAGTATGTGAAATTAGGATTATACCAAGAGTTCAATCAAATCGAACATACAATAAACCTGGCAAGAGGGCGATTCAAATCCTCAACAAGGTAATGGCTATCATGATAATCTTCACTGCTGAGTTATTTTCTTTTTTTTCTTTTAAATTCTAGCTTTAAGTATTATTAGCTTTAATATGATAAAATAATGACATTATATTCAAAAAGCTCAAACTTTTTCCATGACACATTTCGCTGGTTTTGAAAGAAACCAGTTTCTATACTTCTACTTGTGGTTATGAGACAATGCAAGCAGTGATATATATATATATATATATATATATTATTAGAGAGACAGGCACTGACAGCCTGAGGTCACAAGTGGGATTAAACCTGTAATCTTCCACTTATAGAGGAATTTACATCCCTTTAGGCTACAAGGCCATTGATGCAGTAGAAGCTTCAAGCAGTAGCAATGCCTCGTTTATTACTTCTAGACATCACCAAAACGCTGGATCCATAGTATTATTTTTTTCCTTTGCTTTTTGTCACAACAAACAGAGATAAAGAGAGTAACATTTTACATTGATAGTATCATACAAATCATCTGGATATAGTTACCTTAATAAAGATTATGTTCACTGTACCTTTGCGTGGTTTGTTTTTGCCATGTGTTAGTTAAATTAAGGGAGAATCACATCCAAGGACCTGAAAACAAATATATTCACAAATAATGACTAATGACAACTCCAATTTGAGAAAAAACAAATTATATTTCCATTTTAATAATAATCCCTTTTGTATTGATTTTTGTTTATGAATAAGTTTCTAATTAATTGCCAAGTTCTTGGATGTGATTTTCCTTTAAATTAAATTGCCACCTTTGCCTCTAATTTAATTTGTTCGTTTGCTTTGGATTGGACATTCTTCGTCCTTCGAAATCATGCATACAAATCCAAGTGGGTGTTATTGTATTTATCTATTAGTTATAGAGTAGCTTTCACAAACTCTGCCATTTAATCTTACCATAGTTTGCAGGCAGATTTTGGGTCTGATTAAGGACCTATAATGTTTTTCTGGCAAAAACTACTATGGATCTGAGTAGTATTGCATCAAGTTTGACAGAAAAGCCATGCTATTTATATTTATACTTATTAAAAAATTTTATGCTATGGATAGATAAAATGCAAAGAAAGTTTTGATCATATAGTTTACCTGGCCACTATTACTGCATTCATAATAAATCCACATTGTCAATGGGGTAGGTTTCTCTCCACTGCATTTTTTCTCGATTGCAAATTTAAACGTTTAAATTAAATCTATACTTTTAAAAATTAACGGTCCAAATCTGCAATGAATCCTTCACTGCAGAGAAGGAAAGCCAACTCCCATTGCCAATGTCTCTCTTAATTCTTGCATTAATATTAGCATAGTGGCACAATTTGTGTATGAAGTATGATTAGCTGCACCCAGGCGAATAACCCACCTTTGAACTTGACTGAGCTAAAAATAGTGGCAAAGTTACCCGGATGCTATAATAAAAATTAAAATTTACTTATATACTACACTTTACAAAATATTTAATCAAATACTACAAATTCAAAAATTGACATATATCAAATTGAGTTTTGAAAATATTCTGACGCACAACTCGGTGTGTATCAAGCCAATTTGTGAGTGAGATAATTTTTTTTTTTAGAAAGTAGCATAGGGTGGCAGGACTTACATTATTCTATCTCTCCTCCCCTTAAATCACTACGTCCTCTCTCTCTCTCTCTCTTTCATATATTAACATTATCTTCATTTAAATATATTATTAACTTATTCATAAATAATATGAAATAATATAAAATATACCTTAAAAATAATAATAAATAGTAAACACATAAACCATGTGTTATATAAAAATTACTAAAATAAAATATTAAAACTTATTTTTAAATATTATTAGTATTTAATAATAAGAAAAAAAATTAATTTTCAGGTCCTTCTAATTTTTATCAATTTTGACTTAGGTTCCTATGATTTATTTTGTTTTAATCAAGTTTTTATAATTTAATTAATTAAATATGATAATCTTTAAGGATTAAAATCCTTAAATTTTTTTTCTAAAAAAATTATGGACTTCTATATTTTTATTAATAGATTATATAACTTTAAAATTAATTATATGATTTTTATAACTCAAAATATATATATATAGGTTATGTTTTTAAATAAATTTTATATAAAAATTAATAAAAATTTAAACATTGGTAAAATTAATTTTTTTACTTTTTAGATTAAAAGTATTTATTATTATTCTTAATAGTTTCAAAAGGAATTTGGTTATAATATATAATTAATATAGTATATAAATTATTTTTAAGGTATATTCTATATTATTTCATATTATTTATGAAGAAGTTAATAATATATTTAAATGAAGAAAATGTTGCTCACCCTGTTAAAAAATGTAAAATATTTTTAATCGAATCTCACCCTCTAATAAAGTAGTTACTTACTTTCAAACTAACTCTATCTTTTCATATTTATCTCTATTAAATATCATATAATAAATATAAAATTATTAATAGATACACTTTTAATTTATATTTTTTAACATTTAATTTTTTTAAATAATATTTTATAATTTTAAATGGAAGAAATAATACATGAACACGCCTCTGTGCGTGTGAGAGAAAGAGGGAGGGAAGAGGAAAGAGAGAGAACGTTGTGAATTAGGGGAAGAGAGATAGAATAATAGGGTGTTAGTTCCTATCACTCTATGCTTGCTTTAAAAAAAAATTATCTCACACATAAATTGACTTGATACACACTGAGTTGTGTGTCAAAAAGTTTTTAAAACTCAGTTTGATAGATGTCAATTTTTAAATTTATAGTATTTAAGTAAAT